ATCCTAGTTGGCAAGCATCACATAAGTGATCCTTAGTAAAGTCTAACTTAGGTACACCTCTAACTAGGTTTTTTGAGTGATATTTCTCAGTGTTTTCATACTAGCATGGTATAGTCTCCTATGCCATAGCCACGACTCATCAACTGTTGTTTTCAAACAAAATGAGTTCGAACTATTAAAGCAATCAAGGTCTAACATGTAAACATTATTCATTCATTTTCCTTCTAAAACTAGTTTATTATTTAAACTAATCAGGCATTTGTTAGATAGAAATTTAATATCAAAACCTTTGTCACACAATTGACTAATGCTAAGTAAGTTATGCTTCAAACCATCAACTAATAAGACATTTTTAATTAAAAAATTCTTAGCATTACCAACAATACCTGAGCCTATTACTTTCCTGGTAGTATTGCCTCCCAATATTACTTTTGTTGCGGATCTATTTTCATGGATGATATTTTTATGATAGAAAACACTCTTATTGCAAACACTCTTATTATGATTTTGATGATATGTTCTCTACGACTACCTGATCTACTGATATTTAAGGTCCATAAGATGAGACTGAAATTTGGAACCAGCTCAAGAATGGGTAGACTAGGTTTGAGTCAGTTTATACCCTTTTTCCTTTCTTGAGTCTATTGTATGTGGTGTGGCTCCTAATGCTTTGTAACTTGGAAGATTCTCTGATTGTTCCCTAAAGTTTACTATTTTTGGTAACATCGTTCAAGATTAAATTTATATCATCCTGGATAATCATTTCAAAAGCAAAAAATCTGATTAAGGCATCCTCATTAAAGCAACCGTCATTGTGCAAAAATATCATCCTAGACGATTTTGTATCGGCCAGGATGATAGGCTCAAAATAGAAAGAATCTGCAGCCAGATTTATTTAGGAATTACTTATTTTTAGACATCATCCAGGGGATCATCCAGGACTATAAAATATCATCCAGGACGATCTAGGACAATTTTTCCTAAAATAATCTGGCATTTAAGGAAAGCAATTATGACTTGATTGGATGATCAAATCATCCTGGATAATCGCAAGATCGTCCGGGCCGATATAATGGATGATTGGACATCGAACAACTCTTTTTTAGGGCGATATTCAGGATGATATTCCACAATTTGTACTGATCATCCAGGATGATATATTATCATCCTGGACGATATGAACAAATTTTTTCTGATCGTCTCAAATTGTCTCGACTGATTGGGCTTATTTTGCACTGATCGTAGAGGACGATATTAGTATCATCCTTGATGATAAATTTGGCAACTTACATTAATGAGCTCATTTTGAGATCTTCTATTTAAGTTATGACATGACACTTAGTAAGTGTCTTGGGTAGCCATTGTTGCTTCGTTCTTTTGGGGGAAACTTGAACAAAGAGCTTAAAAGGGAGTGAGGAACGGATGAAGTCTGAGAGAGGGAGAAGATCTTTTGAGGGGGGACTCAAGGGAGTGTGGAGGGGGATTCCACACGGTTGCTCCGGCAGGCTTGGACCTTAATACCGTTGGATTCAAGGCTTGTCTTAAGGGAAGTTCACATGAAGAAGAATATCTCTTTGGTGTCAAAGAAAATTTTTTGTTTTTAAGGTATTTTGTCTGATTGACCTCATTGCATACTTTAGAAAAAAACTATTCAAATTTTGAAAAATTTAACAAAATTCTTTGTTGTTTACTAGATAAGTTTGTTGCTAAAGTAGTTGCTATTTATGAATTAAAAGATTTGAATAAATATTCTATTGATAATTTGATTGGCTCACTCGTTGCCTACGAGAAAACTTTGGGTCAAAGACTTATGGATGCAGGTGAAACGATTGTTCTAAAAGCTGAAGATACGAAAAAGATAGCTTTGTTGGTGATGAATGCAATGACTTGTCAAACAAATAAAAAAGCTCACCAAAGCATAAGCATCAACAAAAGAGGAATAAAGGTAAAAATGGTATGGATGTTAATATTTCTTCTAACAATATTTGCTTTCGATGTAAGAAGCCTAGACATATGAAAAATCAGTGCCCTAATTTAAGAATTCTTCCTGTGAAAGAAAAGGGTAAAGCGAACAAAATTTTAAACTGGGAAATAATGAAAAGCAAAAAATATCCAAGGCATACCTGATTTCTGAAGCATCGGACCAGGAGAAAGATAATGGTTAAAGCCTTGTTTGTGTTTTTGTGTTGTATTTTGTTTTTATTTGTTTTCTTTTTTTTTTTTTTTTTTTTTTTTTTTTTTTTTTTTTTGTGTTTTTGTCTTTGTTTATTCTTTGATTTTTTTTTTCGTAAAATTTTTTCTCTCTTTTTTTGAGAAAATGCAAAGAGCAATAATTTTTATTAAAGCAACTAAATACAAATAAATCCCTTCTTCAAAAAATGAAGAAAAAAAGGAGGGATACTATTCTCATTCAGATCTTTCTAAAAAAATCTGAATGAAGAGCATAGTTAGCACACATATCAGCTAACTTATTACAATCTCTTCTAGAATAAGAAAAAATAACTTGATTAAAATATTTAAGAAAATCTAAATCCTTTGGATTTATATATTCTTCTAAAATGGAATTATTATGAAAAGCTCTTTGAAAGAGAAGAATAACTTTGTGATTATCACCTTCAATCATAAAACCTTAGCGTCAAGCATCCCGTCTTGAACATACTTTCTTAAGGAAAGAATAGAAAGTATTTCAGCTTGACCAATATCCTAGTGATTAATGCTGAAACCAAATGCTCCATAAATTCTTCCTTTGTCATCTCTAAAAACACCTACTATTCCAGCTAAATTGTTATTTGATAACAAAGCATCAACATTGCATTTAATCCAGCTAGGAGGTGGATGAAGCCAAGCTTTCAAACCCAGCACAAAGTGCTGATTAGCTTCCAAGTTGTCCAAAATTGGATTGTTACGAAATGAACCAAATGCATATTCTAATGCATTAGCTGCTAAGAAATAACGATTGTCTTCTTTGCCACCATGAATTAATTTGTTTCTGTTTTTCCAACAGCAAAAGATTACCGAACAATATAAATTTCCAATGAAAGGATTCTGAACCAAGAGCTTCATTAACTCATTCAGGCAATCTTCCAAAGAATTAAAAGCAGGCAACTGAAAATTCCATTTCTCCATCTTATCACAAACATATTTGATAATACCACATTTAATAGCAATATGTTCCGAGTCTTCCATGCTTTTATAGAGTCTTGGACATTCATTATCTTCAATAATACCTCTATGATGAATTTTTTTCTCTAATCAACACATACATTCACTTTTCTAAAAATGAAAAAATTACTTCCTGTTTTTCTTGAAATCTTTGGTAAGTTGTGATTGACTTCACTAAAAATAGTCAAAGGAAGGAAACTCATGTTTTTGACTCTCAATCTCTGTTTCCAAAAAGTGGTTATTTTACTTTTGATTTAAAATCTTTTTCATATTTTAAATTAGTCTTTGAAACTAAAATTTTTTATCTCCCTACATTTTATTTATCGCATAGGGATCTTTTGCAAGTTGTTGAATCTAACTCATAATTTTCTTCATCAAGAATTCGCTTTATCAATAGGAAGGGTTTACTTTTATTTTTAAGATTTCAGAAAGGTAGCATATTAAAAAAAAAATTGGCCAATGATACCAAAAATAAAAGATGCGCAAAGAAGCAAAATTGAAAAATATACATAAAAGTATCAAAAATCAAAAGATGCGCAAAGAGAACCATTCAAATTGACAAGAGGCATAAAATGAGCCCACAAAATTTAATGCTTGCCATTCTTGTACTTCTTAAAAGCTTAAGAAAACCCTTGATACTTTCAATACTTGATTTTTAAAAACATTATTCCTGATTCAACAATTCGTGCATTAATCTTCTATTAGATATATTTTACTGAAGGAGTTTTAAAAAATTAGTGGTGCTTTTTCTATTTTATTCCTTAATTTAGATATTGAATTAAAAAGTTTTGAGCCTTTTTAAAGAACTTGAGTTTGGATTATAAATTTCTGAATTTCTAACCTTTTCTGGGCTATGTGTTGTCAATACAATTCTACTAAGTTTTTGATTAAAACCAAGAGGTAACTTTCTCATTTTAAGAATATTTTTTTGTTCCCTAGATCAGGGATCATTTTTTTCTTTTAATCAATTTTTTTAAGTGTTTACCCTTTCTCTTTTTTATAATGTCAAAGGGGGGAACGTACTGTTAAATTTATATGTTTTTCGTACTGTTGAACTTGTATGTTTTTTTTTTCTTACAAAAAAATTAAAAATAACAAAAAAAAAAAATTATCCTTTATTTTTAAAGTTTTATTTTAGTGAGGGGAGATTAGGAGAAAATGCTTCCTGTTTATAAATTCAAATCATAATATTTGCCATCATAAAAAAGGAGAAGATTGTTGTGAATCTATTTTCATGGATGATGATTTTGATGATAGCAAACACTATTATTATGATTTTGATGAAGTGTTCTCTACGACTTCCTTATCTACTGATATTTCAGGTCCACACGATCAGACTGTAATTTGGAACCAGCTCAAGATTGGGTAGACTAGGTCTGAGTCATTTTGTACCCTTTTTCCTTAATTGAGTCTATTATATGTGGTATGGCTCTTGATGCTTTGTAACTTGGAAGATTCTCTGATTGTTCCCCAAAGTTTACTATTTTTGGTAACATCATCCTGGATGATCGGTTAAAAAGAAGAAAACCTGATTAGGGCATCCTCATTAAAGCAACCGTCATTATGCAAAAACATTATCTTGGACGACTTTGTATTGGCTAGGACGATAGGCTTAAAACAAAAAGAATATGCCGCCAGATTTATTTAGGAATAACTTATTCTTAGACATCATCCAGGGGATCATCTAGGACTATAAAATATCTTTTAGGATGATATAGGACAATTTTTCCTACATTAATATGGCATTTAAGGAAAACAATTATAACTTGATTGGACGATCAAATTGTCTTGGACAATCGTAGGATCGTAGGGGCCAATACGCTGGATGATTCGACATCGGACAGCTCTTTTTTAGGGTGATGTTAAGGATGATATTTCATGATTTGTACTAATTGTCCAGGATGATATATTATCGTCCTGGAAGATATGAACAAATTTCTTCTGATCGTCTCAAATTGTCATTACTGATTAGGCTTATTTTAAACTGATTGTACAGGATGATATTAGTATTGTCCTGGATGATAAAGTTGGCAACTTACATTAATGAGCTTATTTTGAGATCTTCTATTCAAACTATGACATGACACTTAGAAAGTGTCTTTGGCAGCCATTGTAGCTTCATTCTTTTAGGAAAAACTTGAAGAGAGAGCTTGAAAGGGAGTGAGGAACGGGTGAAGTCTGAGAGAGAGAGAAGATCCTGTGAGGGGGTACTCAATGGAGTGTGGAGGGGGATTCCACATGGTTGTTCCGACAAGCTTGTACCTTAATACCATTTATTCAAGGCTTGTCTTGGGGGAAGTTCACCAAAGAAGAAGATCTCTTTGCTGTCAAAGGACTCGGCGACTCCACCGCACTGGGGAAGGTGGAAGTGATTTTGTAAGGGCTTCACCGCCTAGCTGAAGGGGAAAAAGGAGAGACACTTAGTTTATTGTAATACTTGGAGGGTGCGTCTAAGGAGTGGATGCAGGTTAAGGTTTCACCGAACCACTATAAATCTGGTGTGTTCTTTCCTTTATTACTTCAATATTTAATTTCTAGACTTTTGTTTTCATTATGGTGAATATTGGTTTTTGGTTTTAAGTTTGAGTTTTGTTTAAAATACCGATTCACCTCTCTCTTCTAATTAGCCTTTGGCTAGTTCATAGGGCTTAACATCCCTAACAAACTTTCAATTTTGCCTCCAGTTCTAGTCCCCAGTAGAACGAACTTCTTCATATCTCCAGTCATGTGTCGCGAGCAGCCACTATTCAGGTACCACATGCTCTCACTAGGTCTTTTCTGAGAGCATCCCTACAATTTCATTCAAGGGTTAGATTTGCGAACCCAAGTGAGTTTAGGTTCCTCCTTATGCTTGCATGAATGAGATGTATGCATGCTATGCTATGATGGATGCACTTTAGGTCTCTATACTAAGTGTGTCCTATGGTGAATTGTGAAAGTTCGGGCTATGTGACCTAGCATGCCACAAGAGAAGAACCTAACACCAGGAAATGGATTCACTAACCTATGTAGGTGGTGATGCGACTTCCTAAAGTTGTGTGATACAAGCTGTGTTGGGGGTTGACTAGGTTGGGCTAATGTGAGTGATGCAATTTCTTTTTCTAGTTCTTTGATTTTTTTCTTTAAAAGTGTTGTTTTGATATATCAATCCATGAACTTCTATTTTTATCAAATGCTCATTGTGATCTACTCTAATGCAAGTTTGTCTAGTCTATGAAAAGCCTCTTCTAGTTCGACATGAGTGGTTTTCAAGGTTTCATGTATTTCAGTTAGTTCAATATGCTTCTTATTTAATGCATCAAACTTATCAAGAAATAGCATATGATCTCTATCTAAATCAGAATTTTTTTTGACTAAGTTATCATGCTATGTTTGTAAACTACAAAATTCAATATTAAGACTAGCATGCATCTTTTTCAATTTCATATACGAGTCATGAATGTTTTTAGAAATAAGTAATAAATCTTCATGTGAAAGCTGACATACCTCATCTTGATCTGATTGATCAAGATTATCTTTAGCCATTAGACAAAGATTTTTTACCACCTTCTCTACTTCTTATTTTGATGATTCTGAGGCAAAGTCGGCCCAAAAAGTTTTTTGTGTCTTCATTTTTCCTTTCTTATACTTGGCTTTATCCTTGCTCTTTTCCTTAGCATGTTGGCTCTTTAAGTTGGGGCAATCAGCTCAAAGGTGACCTGGCTTCCTGCACTCAAAACAAATTATGTCAGATGAAACTTTATTACATCTAGAGCTTTTACCTTTATTCTAGCCGTTCTGATGACACCTTTGTTTTCTCTTTAAGAAGTTCTTGAACTGTCAGGTCATCAAGGATATATCATCTCCTTCCTTCCCTGCAGAGCTGTCACTTTCTGAATTGTTTGCTTTTATTGCCACCCTTCGCTCCTTAATTTCACCTGCATCACTTTATCTTTGACTCACTCCTTACTCGTATGCAATGAGTGACCCAAGGAGATTATCATTAGAATAAATGTTAAGGTCTTTGGATTCACTGATAGTAGTTATCTTAGCATCGTAGGAACTAGGTAAGCATCTTAGAATCTTATTTACATTCTCTGAATTTGAAATCTCTCTACCTAATGCATGCAAGGATGTCACGATTTGGGTGAACCTAGTGTACATGTCAAATATTATTTCGCTAGGTTTCATATGGAAGAGTTCATAATCATGCAATAGAATGTTAAGCCTAGACTTTTTTACTTCACTTGTTCCTTCGTATATAATGCACATTCTATCCCAAATCTCCTTACCAGTAGCATATGTATAAACTCTCATATAATCCTCAGACTTTAATACATAGAAAAAGTAATTTAAACACTTAGCATTCAATTGGGCTAAATCCCTATCCTCATTGCTCCTTCATTAAAAGGTAATGGAGTTTTCACTCCATTCACAGTTTTAAAATGTGCAATATATCCATCATTTACTAACATCCACTTGCGATAATCAATAGACTATAAAAAAGTAGACATTCTAATTTTCCAGAAATCAAATGAAATGTTATCAAAAAGAGGTGGACGGGTTATTGAATAACCCTCCGTAGTATTACAATTACCAAAATGCGACATGATCATTTGTTTAAGGTTTTCTAAAACACTATTTTTGAAAACATGCTATGATACCAATTGAAATAACTAGATCGACAAGAGGGGGGTGAATTGTGAAAATTTTGTAGCAATAATTAAAACCTAAGTAGGAGTTCTAATTTTTTTTATGTTTTTAAATTTTTAAAGTGAAAATTTAAACTAATACAAAGGCAAACAATTAAACTCAACGTGCAACAATCGAATTCTTTTCTTCCACAAATTTCACCAAGCAAATATTATGAAAATTAAGTGTAAGTAAAAGTAAATAGCGATAAGGAAAAAGCACACAAGAAGTTTAAAGTGGTTCAGTAAAACGATGACCTACGTCCACTCCCCGAAGTCCTCCGCTCCAGGAATTTCACTACAAACTATAGCTCTCCTTTCTCCCCCCCTCGATAAGGTGGAGAAACCCTTATA